CATGGAAGAAGCAAACCATCCTGTGCGATCACAAGGTGTCGAAGGGATCAGGTATCAGGCATCATCAGAACAAAAAATCTCACCACAGTGAATGAGAGGGGGAGTGCGGAGTGGAGACCCAAAGCCCATTTTTAGACTACAGGAGATCCCCTTGCAGAGGGGTCTCAGGGAGGAGATGAGCCAGACAGGGTGCGATGTACCAACGATGAAAAATACAACTTTCCTCTAGTTCCTAAATGCTTCCTCTGCACCCTACTATCATGATCCGAATTCTACCTTGCAAGCCTGGCTAGACCAGAGGATGTACACTGGTGCAGATAGGAACTGGAAACACAGGGAATCCAGGGCAGATGCTCCCTTCAGGACCAGTGGTGTGAGTGGCGATGCTGGAAGCGTGGAGGGAGAGTGGTTTGGAAAGGGGGAACCAATTACAAGGAACTACATGTGACCTCCTCCCTGGGGGATGGACAACAGAAAAGTGGGTGAGGGGAGATGAGCAAGATATGACAAAATAATATTTTATAAATTATCAAGGGTTCATGAGGAAGGGGAGAGTGGGAAGGGAGGAGGAAAAAGAGGACCTGATGCCAGGGGCTTAAGTGGAGAGCAAATATTTTCAGAATGATGAGGGCAATGAATGTACAAATGTGCTTTGCACATTGGTGTATGTATGGATTGTGAGAAGAGTTGTATGAGCCCCTGATAAAATGATTTTTTTAAATTCCACAAAATAACTAAAGAAAATTTTAATTTTATCAATGAAATAAGTTCTTTGTCAGTAACAATTAACTTTCTATTTATTGCTTTAGTCGTTTTGCTAGTCATTGCTGTTTGTAATTTTTTTGTCTTTCCAAAGAGAAAAGTATTCTTTCTTAATTTAGGTGTCTTAGTTTACAGAAATATAGGCATGGGTGCTAAAAAAATGTTTGTATTTGGCTGTGTGTAGGTGAAGGGACTGGACTCTGAAAAATCCAGGGTTCCTGAATTCCTTGGAAATCTCCATGTGTCTTGACATCTAGTTCCCCTAAATCCAGAAGGGTCCTAAGGCAGGGACATGGGGTTCCAAGGACATGCCTTGCTCCTGCCCATCTTCTCCTGAAGAGGTTGAGCACACTGTTTGCTAGCCATTCTTTCTTCCCATGTCTTGCAGAAGACTGTTGTGAAACTAGTCAGGGTTGACAGGGGTAAAACAGAGGCCTCCTGTCATCTTCCCTCCAAATGGGCACATCATTAGAGAAAAAAATAACCTCTTCCCCACAAACCAAACCAAATACTCTCAGGTACCATCCACTCAATCTGCAGCCTGAGTGACAGGCCACACTCGGCCCTGGTGCTACCACGGGTGGCATTGTGGCACAAAAGACCCATTACAGTGTTGCAGGGTGCGGCGTGGTGAACAAACAGGGCACTGGTTGGATCTGGTTCTATGGTCACTACCTGCAACAACAAAAGCAGGTGTTCTTAGGTTGTGTAGTCTTGCTACAGAAGACACCAGTACCAAGACTAGATGGATTTAACAAGTGATGCACATTGTCTCATAGCTGTACAGGTAGGAAGCAGAAATGTAGGGCAGGGCTGCAGTTGGTGGGTTTCTCACTTAGAAGGAGGTAGGGAAGGAAAGTTGTCCTAGCCACTCTCCTTGTGTCCTGGCATTCAGCCCAGTTCCCACATGTGCCAGGAGCACGGATCTCGGTTTGCAGGGACCTACTTTGCTCCTGGCTCCTGTTTCTTGATGGTGGCCAGCGTGACCACTACCGAATGGCTTATCTGCCTGTCCATCCCGTGATGAAGACTGATGTGAAGCAATCTAGGCTGCATCTATCAGATGTCCCCTCTGACCAATAGCTCCAGCCTCCATCAAGTTAGGATTGAGTGCGGAAGGCAAAGCGGAGGGTCTTGGCATTTGTGGTTCAGATGGACATAGATTACATCACACTCTTTGTAACAATTCCTACGATCAAAGAATATTCTCAGGGGCCTGTGGGGCTGCAGGATTGGCCTCAACTCCACGATCACTTCTTCAAGGGTACCCTGGTGCAGAGTTAATTGGGGGCGCACATACCAGGGTGGTGGGACAGGCAGCTGGAGAAAGGTAAACATACACCTTGGAAGAGTGAGAGCCAGCAGGTGCTATGGGACAGCCATGGACACTAGATTTCGACAGAGCATCAAGCTTCTGAGCTGGGAGCAGGTGCACAGAGCAGGCAGCAAGTCATTGAGGTCAAGGTCTTGGATGCCACAGTCAGCTAGGTCCAGGAACTCCAGGGTGGCTGAGACTCTGTTCAGCAGAGCAGGGAGTAATTTGTAGTGGTAGCCAGCCCTGCATACACCTCTCAAATCCAGGGACCTTAGGTGACTGGTGCAGGGAAGCAAGGATGAAGCAAGGACAGGTATGTCAAGTCAGGGTCCCCAAGAATGCAATGTCTTATACAGAGGGTCTCCAAGGGGGCCTGCAAGAATCTGAGTAGCAGGTGGAGGTGGTCATTGAGGAAGGGAACAGATTGCAGGGTGAGATGCTGGAGCTGGCTCAGACTGAGGAGCTGAGAGCTGAATTGTTGAAGGAGCCTCTGCGCCTTGTCGTCATCGCTGTTCCCAGGGTCCATGGAATGCAGGCTGCAATTTGCGAGAAAGAGGGTATGCAGGTGGACCATCTGAACCAGAAAAGGAGAAAACACATTGAGGTTTTGCAGGTACCAAAAACCCTCCAACTTTCAACTCCTGGACAGTCTGGCTGCACCATTGTCAGGATCCCCTCAAGAATGGGAAGATTGGGTGGGAGCCCCACAAACTCCAGCTTCCGGCACCACAGGTGTGGCAGAGCCTTCCTCTTCTTGAGCCTTTCAATGAGGAAGGTGAGGGCTTCATCTGGGACATCTTCCTCAAAGCACACATCTTTGACCACCTTGACAGGGGCCAAGAGCTGAAGCTGCTGCCCTGCCCTGGATCTGTCTCCCCGGTGACTCTGGACTCTGGAACTGGTGGATTCTGACTGGCCCCATAGGGCCCCAGAGGCCCACCCTTTCCAGTCGTTGAAATCAGCGTTCAGCCTTAGGTCCAGCATTTTCAAGTTGCATTTCCTGCGCTGAACCTTCTGGGAGAGCAGGGTATCAAGACCCTCAAGTGCAGCCTTTAAGATGTCAAGGGGATTCTGATGATCTCTGGCCCTCAGCGTCTTCGAGACAGAGACCAGCGGCAGTGGCATAAGCTGGTTTGTGGACACTGCCCAGCGTTACGCTCTGGCCGGCCCGTCCACTGGCTGAGCTCTGCGACCACAATGACAAAGTGGCCCGGGAGCTGGGCCGGAACCAGGTGGCTCAGACGTGGACCGTGCTGAGGATCATCTCCTGCAGTCCTGGCCTGGGGCCCTCCACCAACCTTAACCACAGCGTGGGCAAGGGCAGTTCAGGAGGTCTGCAGCTCATGAACAGCTTCAACCTAAAAGAAATGACCCCAGGGCTGGGCGGAGAGACCTGGCTGGACCGCAGCAAGGGTGACACTCGCAGCGACACCGTTCTGCTTGATTCCTCTGCCACGCTCATCACCAACGAGGACAACGAGGAGACCGAGGGCTGCGACTTGCCAGCCGACTACCTCCTGGGTGATGTAGAAGGAGACGAAGAGGAGCTGTACCTGTTGGACCCGGACCACACACATCCAGAGGAGCCAGAGTATGTCCTGCCCCAGGAGGCATTTCCACTGCGCCACGAGATCGTGGACACCCCACCGGGGCCCGAGCACTTGCAAGACAAGGCCGACTCACCACACGTGAGTGGCAATGAGGCAGATGCGGCATCGCTAGTACCTGTGGACCCGTCGTTCTCGCTGATCTCCGTGTCGCACGCACTCCACTACAGCCGCCTGCTGCCTGACTTCTTCAGCACCCTCGTGCGCGACATGCTGCACTTCTACGCCGAGCAGGGTGACTGCAGATGGCCGTGTCTGTGTTCATCGTGTTGGGAGAGCGCGTGCGCAAGGACATCGATGAGCAAGCCCAGGAGCACTGGTACTCGTCCTACATCGACTTACTGCAGCGCTTCCGCCTCTGGAACGTGTCCAATGAGGTGGTCAAGCTGAGCACCCGCCGCGCCATCAGCTGCCTCAACCAGGCCTCCACCTCCCTGCAAGTCAACTGCAGCCACTGCATGCGGCCCATGAGCGGCCGAGGCTGGGTCTGCGGCAGGTGCCACCGCTGCACCAGCATGTGCTCCGTCTGCCACCACATGGTCAAGGGCTTGTTCGTGTGGTGCCAGGGCTGCAGCCACGGCGGCCACCTGCAGCACATCATGAAGTGGCTGGAGGGCAGTTCTCACTGTCCGGCCGGTTGCGGCCACCTCTGTGAATACTCCTGACGGCCGCCGCGACTGCGCATGCCTCTGCCCGCACTGAGCCAGGCCAAAGGACCGAAGCCGGTCAACTCATTAAAGCTTGTGAAGGAGTCGCTGTGGCTTCCGGGTCGCTTCCTTCCCCCCCCTACACCCCATCCAGCGCGTGCGGGATCCAGGTTCGGTGGGAGGCCGGGCTTGTGGCCGCGTCGCCACAGTAACTGGACGGAGCCAATAGCTGCTCTTCGAGAGCCCTGGCCCCGCCTCCAGGTGGGCGGGTCGCTCGGCGCAGGTGCTTCCGGGAGTTGTGCGGCGCGCGCCTGTTGCCACAACAACGGTGTCTCGGCCAATTGCAGCTCCGCCGGGTTTGCGCCGGCTTCCCGGCGTGCCCTGCGGCGGCGGGGTGACCACGGCGGGATCGATCATGGCGCGTGGGTCGCAGAGGCTCCTGCTGCTGGTGCTGTGGGCGCTGGCGGCTCCGCGGAGGGCCGCTTCTGGGCTGGCGGGCGACGGGGGTTGGTGAGCGCCGCGGGGCGGGGGCAGAAGACGGGGGTGGGGGACGGAGACGGGACAGGGAATGGGCACTGACCGACAGTGCCCGCAGGCAACGGGGTGGGCCGGGGGCGCCGGCGGCCGTGGCCGAGGAGGAGCGCTGCACTGTGGAGCGCCGGGCCGACCTCACCTACGCCGAGTTCGTGCAGCGGTAAGTACGTGCCCGTTTGCCAGTTCCCGCCCCC